CATCACTGTTGTCATCTGTGTTTTGGGTTTAAATAAAATATTAAGAGGCTGGCCCGGTGGCATAGCGGTTAAGTTTGCACGCTCTGCTGCGGCAGCCTGGAGTTCGGATCCTGGGTGCGCACCAACGCACCGCTTGTCAAGCCATGCTGTGGCAGCGTCCCATATAAAGTAGAGGAAGATGGGCGTGGATGTTAGCCCAGGGTCAATCTTCTTTAGCAAAAAGAGGAGGATTGGCAACAGATAGATGTTAGCTCAGGTCTGATCTTCCTCACAAAAAAAAAACCAAAAAACAAAACCAAAAGCAAAACCTATGTTGTCTCTTCTCCCGGCTGCCTCGTCCTCTTAATCTCCTCCCTCTCTTTCTTCAGACTCACTAAGCAGCTCTGTATTTGATCCTATGAATATAGGACAGTCATAGTCTTCATGATTCAAGAGTTTAATGTCAACATCTCCGTATTTCCAAGGATTCACATCATCCTAAGCTAGGTTAATGATGGATTCACATGTATGTCCATAGAGATCCAAAAGGGCTTATGGAGAAAGTGAGATACAAATAGGAAGAGGGAGTGAATTAGGATGTGATCAGGAATAAGGTGAGGGTTATGTAAAATTAGACCACATCAACATTGATATTCAGGATCATTAAATGGAGGATTCTTCCAGCAAATTTTCCTTGATTGACCCTGCCTCACTCTAACCATTTGTCTGATAAAGAACACTTCCCTGCTCCTCTTTTATTCTCCTATTGATTATATTATTGATGGCCTCTTATTCAGAGAATGAATTACAGGCAATCATGGAATTAAGAGCCTGAATCCTGGTATGTTTGGTGTTCTTCAGAGACTTGACGAAGAGTAAGCTAGCAATTTTTATGGTGAAGAAAGGAGAAAATCAGATTGATGGTGAATGGAAGAAACTGTAAGGAAATTGTTATGGACTGATTGTTAGCGTACTCCCCAATTCATATGTTGGAGCCCAATGTGACTATATTTGGAGATAGGGCCTGCGAGGAGGTGTTACAGATTAAATGAGGTCATAAGAATGGGGCCCTAATCTAACCAAATTTGGAGCTCAACCAAATCGGCTGTCACCTTGATCTTGGACTTTCCAGCCTCCAACTGTAAGAAATAAATTTCTGTTGTTTAAGCCACCCAGTCGCTGGTATTTTTTTTATAGCAGCCAAAGTTGACTAATACAGAAATGGAGCCTCTCTGTGTCGAGGTTAATAACTCCTTTGGTTTTCAGACAATTAATGACAGCTCAGGAGGTTGGGGACAGAATTTTTTGTTGGAATTAAGATTTAGGACCAATTTCGTCTAGAGTCCCAAGATATAGGTCCAAAGAAACAAGCAGAGCTGATTAAGATTTTCTTTTGGGGGAATAACTTTTTTGCTCGCTTTTTACTCAGTGTAGGAAACATTTTTTGTTTTAATTTAGCTGGTAGAGTGCCTCCATTTTTCCAGAAAGTGCCCATTTCACCTTCCACTGTGGTTCAATTAAGAACATCAATCTCTTTAGCAGTCTCCTGTGCAGCTCCGTCCCCATCCTCAGCTACCATTGATGAGACTAGGATGAGCATAGCTGGGTGTGGTGGCATCAGAATTGTTCACCAAATATTTGTGGTTCTCCCCATTCTGTTCTTCTGTATCCTCTACTCTGCTTTTGAGTCCCTCTAGTGAATTTTTCATTTCCAGTATTGTAGTCTTCATTTCTGATTGGTTCTTTTTTATATCTTCCATTTCTTTGTTGACATTCTCACT